AACAGCTGCTGGCACGCCCAGCAACTTAATCAAAGGCCAAAAAAACCAACAAACTGCAAGGGAAAAAGGGAAAGGAAAAGGGGGGAAAAGAGGGAAAAGGGGGAAAAGTGGGAAAAGGGGATAAAGAAAACTTGCTAAAGAAAACGGGGCAAGTTAACACCTTAAAGACCGCCGCACCGCCGCACCCCCTGAAGACCCACTTGGCCCTCTCATTTATCAAGTGGCGAACAAACAGACACGCGCCCATTGTTATTATTGGCATTATTGCGGGACAAGCGGACAAGCGGACAAGCGGACGGACCGCATCCACCAGATACAAATTGCTCAATTCAAAAATGTGTGTAATTTCTTGTGCCCCGCCCCGCCATTAGTGTGGCACCTACGATTGCGTGACCAAAAAATTAAGGCAAATAAATAATGTAATCAGCAATGAAAGCGAAATGAAAAGAATCAAACAGGACAATATTGCACACGATCTGAGGGAACTAACTATGCACCTGGAAAAATGAGAAGGAATTATATGGTTATGACACTGCATTTTTGCTTTAAATTTATTTATTTATTAACTTTTTTTATTATATTTTTTATCTTTAAGTCTAAATATTTTGTAAACTATAATTTTATAGAGAATTCAATAATATTTGCAAAATAATTATATTTAAAAAATATGAAGTATAATAATAAGTAAGTAATTTTGAAAATAAATGTAATATTTTAAATAATTAAATATAATAATAAATAAAAAAATTAAATTTTGAACATATATTTAATAATATAATTAATTTAATTTAATTTATTATTCATTAAATTTAATAAAAAAAAGTATATAATTATTAAATTAATTTCAATTTTAATTAAATTAGTTAAAAATTTTTTAAATTTATTATTAACTTAAATTAATTAAAAAATTAAATTTATTTATTTTGAAAATTATTTACTTTAATTAAAAAATAAATTATATTTAAATAATATTAATTAAAAAATAGTTTACTTAAAAAATGTACAGAAATCAAAATAATTATAATGATATATAAAACCATTCATAAATAAAAGCAAAATTGTAGTGTCATACAACCAAAATAATATAATTTTCTTATTGATTTTTATTGCTTAATATATCAAATTTTATTTAAGCATTAAATAATAAATATGTAAAAATAATTTATTTGATCTACAGAAAAGTATTCTATTCTTAAAATAATATTCTTAATAATAATAAAACCTTTTTCAAATTGAAATCTTTAATAAACCAAAGAGTGTAGTGTCATACAACCATAATTATCATACAATCTAATTACTTTAAATATTTTTTAAAAATTAAATATTATTTAAAAATTACCTCACATTGAAATATATTTGTACTTTGGCCTTTGCCTCCACCTTTTTCTAGCCGTGCATATGGCTGGCTGGCTGGAAATTTGAAAGAGATTCGGGCATCATTTATAACGCCTGAGACGGGGCCAAGTGGACATCGGGGGCTCGTCTTTATATGAATAAATTAAATGTATTATTTGTGGAGCTGCTCTGTGCGTTTCCTTGGCTGCCCTGCATAAAACATTAAGCACATTAAGCATCAAACGGGAGCCTCTCCTCTGACCACCAGCTCCGCTCCTGCGCCAATTGAGACATTTAACAAAAAGGTCCGTTTACCTTTTTTTGTGTTGTTGTTTTTTGTTTTTTTTTTTGTATGTGCGGGTGTGCGAGTGTGTGTAATGAATGTATAACACGCTCTGCTCTGCATCTCCATTTAAAGTCCGAACCAAAGACAGTGGCAGCCAAACTAAAAGTCTATTTAATTTGTAAATAGAAAAATATAAAGAAATCTAAAAAAATTTAGAAATTTATTAAAACATGATATATTTCTTAAAAATTTTTATATTATGTATAGCTCTTACTTTTCAATAGTTTTCTAACCACTGTTCCAATATTGTTATATTTTCTTGTGTATTTTTTATGTGGGTTTTTGTTGGTTGCGAAAAGGTTGTTGTGTGCGTTTTAGTGCTCAATTTTCGTCTACGCTGGTCAGCAGGCAGAATGCAGATGGGTGTTTGTGTGCATGTGTGTGTTAAGAGGGATATACTCCCCAGGATATCGGGGGCCAGGATATCCGCAGGCAGCTGCAGAGTTTTGCTTTATTTTATTTATTTTGTATTTTACTCAACGTTTATTTTTTTGCGTACGCTCGTTCGGAGCTCGTTTAGACATCGTTTTGTCATTTCAGAAACGGGGGGGTTAAGGGTGTGGCAGGGTGCCTTAAATGTCAAACCCTTTTCAAAAATAGTCTGGCAAAAAGGCCACAGAATTTCGCTCGTTGTCCAGGACATTGAGGCCTCACAACACGCACCGTAAATTTTCCGCTCGTTTTTCCCTCGTCCCTTTTTCAATGCCAATGCCTCACTCTCTCCCCATTATTTCCTTGCCTCCCCCTTATTGTGCGCCAGCAGACAAATAAAATTGTATTATTAACACATTTGAGACGCCAAAATAATGCTTGGTCAAACGTTGCTAATATGCCAAAGGACTGGACTGGCTGGCCGCTCATGCAAATTGTTTACCGGATTCCCAGACTGACCGATCGAATCGCAGTGCTGCCTGCCCGCCTGTCCATTAGTCCCGAAGACACGCACAGATTTCCTTTTTCGGGCATTTCCCAGCATCTCCCTTTTTTAGCCGGGATTTTCCATGGCTTTTTCTTCGCTTTTCCTCCGCTTTTCTATTTCCTTTTTGGGTCTGTGGAGAAATAGGTATATGTTTGGTTTGTTTTTATTTTTGGCTTTAAATGTTGATTTAAAGTTTATATCAATTTCGATTAGTAAATCAGAATTTGTAATTTTTAAGATTTTAAAAGTAATAGTTGTAAGTTCATTAAAATATTAATATATATTATAATATATTATATATATATATATATATATATATTAATATTTTGTTTTTATAATTTAATATTTTTAACAACTCAGTTAAGCAGTAAATAAATAAATACCTAAAAAATAAAATATAAATAAATAATTAAAAAAATAATAATTAAAAAAATTAATTAAAAAACATTAATAATTAAAAAAAATTAAAAAAATAATCATTTCAAAAATAATAATAAAAAGCATTAAATAATAAAAAATAATAATTAAAAATATTATAACAAAAAAACAAATTATAATTAAAAAAATAATAATTAAAAACATAATAATTAAAAAATAGTAATTTAAGAAAAGTAAAAATTAAAAATAAATAATAATTTAAAAAATAATAATTAAAAAATTCCAATTTAAAACTAATTATTAAACAATAATAATTAAAAAATAATAATTTTAAAAAATTAATTAAGAACATAATAAATAAATATTTAAAACCAAAAATCACTTGCTTGTCACTATAATTCCCAACTAGTTTTAGCATTTTCCTATTGGTAACCCAGCTGAATGTAGAGGATTTTCTTCGAAAAGTATCCTGAGTTTCTATAACTTTACATGGTTAAATACGAAATCTATTAATGTCTAATTTAATTTATATTTTTTAATTGTTGATTTATATTTATTTAATAGCTAATTTACATATAAAAAAAACTATAGATATTTTTGATAACTCAAATGAGTTAAGCACTCTACGCTTAATCTTTAGATTTCGCATGGTGAATATTAAATAGATAAATGTCGAGCTGAATTCCCAGCAGTGCAACTGGCATCTGGCATCTGGCAACTGACAGTTGTCTTGGCTTGGCTTGGCATGGCTTTCCTTCCCATCTGTCTGTCCATCCGTCTATCCGTCTATGTGTCCCTCCGTCCGGCTGCCAGTTTCAATTTGAAACAATGTCTTACCCCGGGGCCAAGAAAGTGCAATTACTTTCGTGTTGGGGAATCGCTTAGCGAAATCAAACAACGACGACGACGACAACAACGACGGACATTTGGGTCTCGTGCCTCCGATTTCTGGGACAGCAATTAAATGCGGGCCAAAAGGAATAGTTTTCCAAATGAAAAGTCCTGCCGGGGCAACAAAAGGAATGCATTTTCAAGGAGTCGCAGTCACAGTCACTGTCATTGTGAAAAACTCTACTTAAATGTAGTAAAGAGCGCTTAATGCCGGTTATTAGAATGACAATAAAAGGATACTTTGTGGGTCAACATTTCCCCCCGAACTTGACTTGCCCATTGATTGAGTCTCTCTTTGGGGGAAAATTGTGTGTTTGCCAGGAAAATGCAATCAATCTGTCCGCACCACATGGCGTATGAGAGATCTCTGTGTAGCTTTAAAGTTTTATGGAAACTAAACTTTGGGCAAAGTTTTTCTGCCAGCTCTTTTGTTGTTTTTTTTTTTTATTTATTTATTATTTTCTGTTGTATTTTTTGATTAACACTTTTGGGTGCTTGATGGACGGGCGACATGACAGGCAGAGAATAACTATGGGTGGCTGCAAGGTAGCGGAATTTTCCCAGGACCCCAGCTGTCCCCTTTACTCCTTTGTGTTGTTTCTTTTTTGCATGTTCACACATTGACCCTTATTCGGCGAAAAAAGCATAGCAAAGCTCGGACAGGATTTATGGCCATTTGAGCGTTTGAGTGCGGGCCCTGAAAAGGAAAGGCAAGAAAAGCGAGGCTTGTAGCAATTAGCAGGAGAACCCGAAAAATATTTTGTTGACCTTATTTAAAATGTAATGACTGGGTCTCGGGTCAGGGAGCGAGAGTGAGGTTGCCACGATTTATTTGCTCTTAGAGCGCGCCCCAAAATAAATTACAAATCAACCCCAAGGAGCAGGACATTAGTCATCGACCCCAATTCATTGTTCAGGAGGATCCTATGGCTCTGAGGAAAGAGGGGCTTTCAAAATTATGCACAAATTATAGGGACTGATGGGCAGGGGATTCCTGGGATTCTAGGCAGCTTTCAAAGGTCTCAATTCTTTACCAGAGACCCACTGGGCGTATGAGTGATATATTTATGTAGAGGAGGAAATCCAGTTAATAGCAATTGCCAAATAATTTTGTAACTTTTTTCATTGCAGCTACTTGAAGACCAAGAAGTAAGGTAAGTTCTGTCTTTTTTTCTTTTTTTAATAAATTTAATTAAATTGCAACTAGCTGTGACTTTGCTGGACATTATTCAATTGAGATTTGCCATAAAAGATTGATTGCCTTTCGGCTTTGAAATGGAATGGAATTTTCGCGCATATTAAAGTCCAGCCTCGTTATTTATTCATTACATTGCTGTAAATTCAATCGAAAAGCATAAAATGGCAACATTTGTTGGGAGCGTAAAAAAAAAGACTGGAAATTTGATTAAATATTTGAAGATAAAAGGAATGGAAGCGGGTTTTCTAGCAGTATCTGTGGGTTGTGATGAAAATGTTATGTTTAATGTAATACAAAAATAGTAAGAATACTAGAAAATATTATAAAATAAATATTTGATTCTTAATTAATTTTTTAGAATTATTTTCCTACTTATGAAAGTCTTAAAAAATATTTTTAACTAATTTTTTACAATTTATCTGCACACTTTTAGTACATTTAATATAGTAAATGAATTATTTTTAATTTCTACTTGGACTTTTCCTTTAAAAAATAATCTTAAATAATTATTTAATATTTATTTTCATTTTTTTAGTATTATTTAAAATTTTTACTTAGACTTTTTTCTCAAAAAGTAATCTTAATTAATTATTCAATATTTATTTTCATTTGTTTTTAACTTTATTTAAGATGTATAATCCTCTTAATTAATTATTTAATATTTATTTATATTTTTTAAATTTTTTTAAAGATTTATTCTTTCACTTTTTCCTCAAAAAATAATCTTAATGAATTATTCAATATTTATTTTTATTTTTTTTACGTATTATTTTAAATTTCTACTTACTTTTTTCCCTCCAAAAATAATCTTAATTAATTATTCAACATTTTTTCCCATTCTTTAAACTATTTTCCCTCATTTTTCCATCTCTCCAGTCTCATTTTTAGCTCTCTTTAACAATAACAACTCTGAAATAAAATTATAAATATAAAAAATTTATGCTTTAGACATTTCCAACACACTTTTGGATATGCAGATATATACAAATTTCTATATCGCTCCAAAGCGATAATAATAAAACGCGATGATTAAGGCATCTGCTGGTGCGATGACTTTTGGTCAATCGTAAATCCTGCCTTTTGCTGGTCTTTTTAAAAGGCCAAGCCAGTGTGGGTGCGGTGCGGTGGGTGTTGTTTAGTGGGTGCTTACTGTGGTAATGATGGCAACAATGTTGGACAATGAACGAATCGAGACAGCCATCGCATCGTGACCTCTGCTGCTGCTGACGAGTTTTGTTGCCTCTTTTTTTTCGATTTTAAAATGTTGAGCAAACAAGTGGCCAAAAACAAAAGAGGGCCAAAAGCCCAAAAACGCCGAATTTATTTGCAACACGCGCCAGTCTGGCCAAGATCTGTCGCCGCAGATTATCCCGCAAAAAAGCATTTAGTCGAGAAATATATATATATATTTGGGAATATCTGGCAAATATCTAGTGAATATCTGGCGAATATCTGCATATATACACACGTATTTATATGCTATTCGTCACCCAGCTTTGTTGACAGCCATTAAAGAAGCTGTAAAGTGCTAAGAAGCGGCGACAACGAAGGCAGCTCTTGTATGCAATTAGCAAAGGGGGATTATGGGGGATTCCCCCACATTCCAGCCTGGGTTTTCGGTGGTAAGAAGTAGGGTTTGGAGAGAGCGCAAGAAAGTTCTTTTAGCAACAGCAAAAAGTTACTTTGTCAAGGGGATTGATTACGTGGCTTCTTGAGGATGTTGAAGAACCAGGAACTAGTGAGGCCTTCAGGGCTATAAAGGGTTAAGGAAATACCCCACATGTTCTCCATCTTACGATATATATATTCAACTATTATTTACCAGCTTAAAAGTAAGTCTAGGGACTTGTTATGGCACGGTTTCTTCGAAGTAGCCATAGCAATTGCAGCCTCTACTTGGCACTTATGAATTTATTAGGCCATTTTTGGCCAACTGGAAAGCCAGAATCCCTTCTCCCGCGGCAAGTTTGCCATAATTATCAGAGTTTTGCCACAATGAAGCCATAAAGCATAAGCCGGAACATTGTTTCAGAGAGGCCAGGCTTTTGGGGAGAGGCGTGTTAATGTTGCTCGATGATGAATTCCCAGCACGTTTTCTGGTCAGAGGTCAGAGGGGTGGCTAACTAACAACTATTAAGTGAACTTTTTAATGCCCAACTTTTGTGTGTGCTGTAAAATTTAGGCCACGAACTGTGCAGGCATCCATCCATCCGGATGATTGGGCAACTGAACAATGGAACTGCACTAATTGGGGGCCAAAGGAATTTTTGAGTGAAAAGCTGAGAGAAAATGCACTGAAAAGTAAAACACTAGAGATGTTTGTTTGCTAGGTATTATGGGAGATTTTTAACAGATTTATTTCTTGTGTAAAAATCAGACATATCTCTAAATTATCGCTACCTACTTTTCACGTGCCTGGCCAGCATCCCCCCCATATATGCCTGCGATTAATGTTCTGAGGGGGAGAAGGAGGGGGTTAGATAACGGGAAATGGGAAATGGGAAGTGGAGCATCCCCCAAACTACCCTCTCTCTATGATTTATAGCCGTAATTAAAATCTGTAGTTGCCCCCCAAAGTAAGCCCGCTAAGACTTTTGTCAAAAGACATAAAGGCAAGGCCCAGGCCGAAATCCTTTTATGGCGGAATTTAATTAAGGCAAATCTCCCTAAACACACACACACACACACACACGCATATCCTTTTGGCCCACATGGATTCCACGGGGGCCAGTGAAAAAAAAAAAAAGCCAAAGAGGAAAAGCGCTGCTAGGCTTTCCATCCAATATTGCCTTATTGTTCCAGCCAGGCAACATGCAACTCGAGGGCTCTGTCCTGGTATCTTTGCCATACAGCCTGCATATTTGTTGAGTGCTCACAGGATACAGCAGGACAGCAGGACAGAAAAAAAGGGAGCGAAAAATCGACCAACAATAACAAATAGGCTGATGACTAGGGACAGGACACCCAAGGCACTGCAAGAAAGAAGTTAAAAGTAAACTGAAAAAATTATAAATAAACCCAAGACTCTTCTAAAAAAACAAAATTTTCCATTAGAAATATACATAATATTTACTTATACCCCAAAAGTACCCCTAAAATTTCCTCTCAGTGCCCAAATATTTTGTGCATTTTTTGCTCGTACAAACGAAAAGCCACTACCAACAATGGCCCTCAAAGAGTTTTCCAGTTAAAACATCTCGAATCCCGACAACAAGTAGGACTCAATGGAGATATCCATCCTGTGCCCCATCATCGTCAATAAATTGCTTGAAACTGAGTGCTGCTTTACTGCACACACTGCGTATGCGTGATATTTACAGTTTGGGTCTCGCCTTGAGGCTCCTTCGTCAAGGTGTAAATCAAATTGCTGAAAATTCATATCAAACTCACACACTTCCGCCATGAAATGCCAGGATGTGTCGTTGTCGTTGTCGTCGTCAGAGACTTGGTATATTTTTAGCACCGTCAGCTAACTAGTTTTGATGTGTTTTTGTGACAGGAAATTTACGTGGGCGGATTGCATGACATTTACACTAACACACACACATATCCCCAGATTGGTTAGGCTATTGTCCAGATTCTGGTTTATGTTTTCGAGATGAACTGCAGTTGAGTTTGAGCTTTCAAGGGAATCAGAAGTGCAATCTAAGAGCTGCCTTGGGAATTGTGTGAAAATTATACATAAATTACACCTGAAAAAGAGGAGAAAGAAAGGGAAAACAAATATTTAAAAGTGAAATGTAAGCATAATATAAATTATTTCGACTGTAAATAATATATATTTTTTATATAGAATTTATTTAATAATAATTAAACTTGAGGAAAAAAGAAAACAAGAAAATAAAATAGTTACTGGTGAAAAGAAATTATTTCAAAATAATATACTTGACTTGAAGAAGCTTTAAAATATTTAATTAAATTTATTTTGGGTATAATTTATATATATTTAAATTAATAAAAATATATTTAATATATAAAATTCAAATATTCGGTGTAAAAAATATAAATTAATTAGTTTCGATGGTTAAGAAATAAAATAATATTAATAAAATATATAAAGGTAAGATATGGTAAGAAGAAATTAATATTTGAGCTTAAAAATTGTTATTAAAATTTATTTGAACCATATTTAATATATTTAAATTAACAAACGCAAATCATAAGCTAACTAGAAACGCGCAAAAAATATACATATATATTATTTACACTTGAAGGATGAAGAAGGAAAGATAAATAAAATTAGTTAAAAATATTATGCTCAACTTAAAGAAGCTTTGAAATATTTTTTAAAATTTAGATTTGCTCGTAAGAAATTAAAACTTTAGCTTAAAAATATTTATTATAATTTATTTAGACTTTATTTAATATCTATAATTTATATAAGCAAAATATATACTTGAAAGGTGAGGAAAAAAAGGAAAATAAAATAGTTATAGGTGAGGAAATATTTCTAAAATATAAAACTCAGCTTAAAGAAGCTTTAAAGTATTTTTTAAAATTTATTTCAACTTTATTTAACTTTAGTTTATATAAATTATCACTTGTCTCATGGCCCGAGCGTGTTTACTAACTTATTTCCACATAAATATGTCCAGAAATAGTGTGTTTATATTTAGCTAGCAGAGATTTATGTCTGCCTGTTGATGTAAATAACCAGCAGCAGTTTCAGATTAATTATGGCCTTAAATTGCCTCAATTGGTCAGAGACTTTCAGCGGAACTTGGCATTTAAGTTCCATTTACTTGGACTTGGTTATTAATAAATTGCATTTAATTGCTGGCAAAGCCAACTAAAAAATAACCAAAGTTAGGGGGCTGACTAACAGGAGGGTTGAAAGAAGGACGAAGGTATCCAGGGGGCACATCTAATTCAATTACCGTTGGCTCGTTCGTCTGCCAAGCGTCTCAATATAAAAACTCAATTTAATGGGTGCCAAGTTTGTTGTGCGTGTGTATA